TCAGAGTCGCTAGCAAAGTACACCCGAGAAGGTTCCGGGTGGACCGTAACCGCAATCAAAGGTGCGACGGTTGGGGTTGCCCGTTACGTGCCAATTCGCGGAGGATCCTACGTGCCATTGCCGACTTTCATAGARCGTAAGAGAGCAATAATTAGCGTACGCAACAAAGATAACGAGTGCTTCAAATGGGCTCTGAGGTCTGCCCTATATCCAGTCAAAGAAAACGCATTCAGAACGTCGAAATACCCAAGTGACGACTTAGATTGGTCAGGCGTAGTCTTCCCAATGGAATTACGTGCCATACCCGATTTCGAAGAACGAAATGACCTCGCAATAAACGTCTATGGTGTCAGAGAGAAGACCATTGTGCCTCTGTATATCTCAGACTGCGAAGGGCAACGCATACACCTCTTCTACCACGGAGGGCATTATTCATGGGTAAAGTCTCTAAGCCGCTTATTTGCATCACACAGCAAGAATTGTCGTAAGAGGTATTATTGTGACGCTTGCCTATTGCCATTTACAGACGTAAAAGCCTTAAAGAAGCACGACAAGATTTGCCGAGGGGTCGAAGAACCCGCTCAAAGAATTCAATTACCAGAAAGCAAGGACTTACGATACAGCGACCACAAGCGGGAAAACAAAGTACCTTACGTGATTTACGCGGACTTTGAGTCCTTAATTACTCCAGAGTACGAGGAGGCCGGTAACATGCAAAAGAAAGGATTGCATGAGATTTGTTCATACGGATACATAGTAGTTCGATGCGATGGAGAAGCCGACGAACCCGTAACTTACCGAGGCCCTGACGCAGCACGAAAGTTCCTTGAAGCCCTGGAGGAAGAGGAGAAAGAAATCCGCCGCCGACTGTATCCACGCAAAGCTAAGGTAACTCCAGAGAACMTGCGAGATTACCACGCAGCCCAGGAATGTCACGTGTGCAACCTGGGAGTGCTCAAATTTGGTCGCCGGGTAAAGAAGGCTTGGAAGGCAAACGGAGAGTACTTAGGAGAAGCGCATATGACGTGCGGGCGCTATGCAAAGACTGGCGACAAGCCCGGTAAGCCCTCCACGCACTGCTTTCACTGCGGTGAGCCGCTTGAGGAAGACTTTTACGTAGACAAGGTAATGGATTGCTGTGAGATTACCGGCGAATATAAAGGCGCAGCGCACTGGAAGTGTAGATATCGAATAGACCCCAACATGGAGATTCCTGTGTTCTTTCACAACCTTCGCGGATACGATTCCCACCTGCTTTTACAGGGAGTAGAGGGTCACGAAGTAAAGTGCATACCTAATAACAAAGAACGGTATATGTCCGTAACCATTGGCAAGCTGAAATTCCTAGATTCCCAGCAATTCATGGCGGATTCCTTAGCCAATCTAGCTAAATATAACGAGGATTCCCCCATTTCCGACGAGTACGATGCAGAAAGGAAAGGAGTGTATCCATACGAATACATGGATTCTTGGGAACGGTTTGAAGAGCAGCAATTACCACCCCAAGAGGCTTTCTACAGCACCCTAAATGAAGCGGGGATATCCGATGATGAGTATGCCTACGCGCAGGAGGTGTGGGAAAAGCGCGCCTGCAGAAACCTGGGGGATTACCACGACGTGTATTTGCTCTCAGACGTTGTCCTACTAGCAGACGTATTCCAAAGTTTTCGAAAGATGTCTATGTCTTACTACGGGTTAGATCCAGCGAACTTTTACACAGCTCCCGGACTTTCTTGGAGTGCGGTGTTAAAGAAAACAGACGCACAACTGGACCTCCTAACCGACTACGAGATGTATCGATTTATGGAAGACGGTATTCGCGGTGGAGTTTGCGGACCCAGCCGCCGTTACGCGGGCGCCAACAATCCTCAAGTAGAGGGGTACGACCCCGAAAAGCCAACAACTTACATATCTTATCTGGATGCTAACAATCTTTACGGGTGGGCAATGTCCCAGCATTTGCCCGTGCGGGACTTTGAATGG